CTTCACCTTCTTCTTGGCCGCGATTAAGGGCATGAGGAGAAACAGGCTCCCACTTTCTAGCTTGTACTTTCGGCTCCCTTAGCCCTAAACCCTATACTCTAAACAACAATAACCCCTGAGCCCTTAAAGGAACCCTTACAGGATCCCTTAACCCTAAACCCTAGAAGGAACCTTAAACCTACCGCAAACCCTAATTCCTAAACTCTAAACCTAGACCCTAACCCTTAAAGGAACCCTAAACCCTAAACCGTAAAACCCCGAAACCCTAAACCCCGAAACCCTAAACCCTACACCCTAAACCCTAAACCGTAAACCCTACACCCTAAATAAACCCCAAACCCTAAGCCCTAATCCCTAAACCCCTAAACCCTTAAAAGGAACCCTAGACTTGCTTTGCCGCCTCGCAAATCTGACCACCAAAGGTCCTTGGCTCAAGGCTGGGGGGACTGGGGGTCTTCCTACTAAAAGCCATAGCATGGTACTAGGCTTCAGGGGTTTAGGGATTTAGGGTTCCTATAAAAAGCATAGCATGGTACTTTCGGGTTTAGGGGTTTGGGAGTTAAGGGTTTAGGGTGTAGGGGATTAAAGGGTTGAGGGTGTAGGGTGTATAGCCCCCTTAACCCGAAACCTTAAACTGCGAACACCCTTAACCGTAAACCCTCAGGCACCTCAGACAACCAACTATGTTACGGCTCTACTAAACCCTAAACCCCCAAAATCACTCAAAACCCAAACCCAAAGGCGTGCATCTTAAACCCCTCAAAATCACTCAAAACCCAAACCCCAAAACCCCAGATGTTCAGAAAAGACCCTAAACCGCAGAGACGAGTGGAGAAGAGCCGACCAAAGTGGACCTTCGGCCCCGAGGCCCCCAAAGCCTCAAGTCAAGGGGCCTTCATAATCGTAAGGTATATATTCCTTAACCCAAAGGGTCCAAGTACTAGTATAGTATGTACTTTGGGGGCCCAAATAGATACTAAGTAGCTACTATAATGGTACTTGGACCCTTTGGGTAAAGGGGTTTTGGAGGCTCCGGGTGGCGTCTTGCCGCAGAGCCTTCGGGACTGGCGGAGGGGTGCGACGAACGAGAGCCAAGGAAGTATCGGTGTAAGGGCCCCATGCATCTACGCAGTACCTACAGGCTCCCTTTATGAAGTTTGGGGTTTAGGGTGTGGGGGTTTGGGGTTTAGGGTTTAGAGGGGTTTGGGGTTCCCCTCCCTAAACTGTTTGTAAAACGGCCCCTGAGCCACAATCCCTGATATCGGAGCTCTTATACACACTGCACCCTAGCCCCAAACCCTCTGGCCCCAAACCCATAATCTTGCAGCCCGAAGCCCAAAGCCATGAAACAACAAGCAAAACCCTGCATCATACGAACCTTGGTTAGCAGTCACCAACATCTAGGACGTTTTTCAGGTGGGCAGGTACTGTTCTAGGAGAGCCCAATAGAAGGTCTATATATACCTTATAGACGCCTTATAAAAGCCCTATATACCCTAAACTCCCCACCTCTAGTTTCCTTTAGAAGAAAGGAATCCTGAGCCGCAAACCCCTAAAAGGAAAACTACAGGTGGGGAGTTTAGGGTATATAGGGCCTCTATAAGGCTTCTATAGGGTATATAGACCGTAACTACCCACCTGAAAATGTCCTAGACTAAACCCTTAACCCCTAAAACCCTGAATTTCAGAATACACAGAACCGCGAGTCCGAACTACGAACATCACCGGACTAAAAAAAACTAGCAACAGAAACAGACACCAAACATCACTAAGGGCTTAGGGGGTTGGTGGTTCAGAGTTTATAATTTAATTAAGTAAAACCCTAAACCCTGATTCCGAAACGTAAACCCAAAACCCCTTAAACCCCCACGAAATCACTCAAAACCCAAATCCAAAACTTTAAATCTTAAACCCCGAATCACTCAAAACCCAAACCCAACACCCTAAACCCCTTAAACCCCAGAATCGCTCAAAACCCAAACCCCAAAACGCCAGATGTTCAAACAAAAAACCTTAAACCCTAAACCTAAACCCTAAACCCTAAATCCAAAGCCCTAATAAGGCTCACCAAAAGAAATTGCCAGGGCGCTGCTGGGAGAGGTCGCAATACTTTGAGGCCGCCTCTAGGAACTTCCTCTGGCCGCTGCTTGTTGGATCATTTTTTTTGGGTTTAGGGTTTAGGGTTTAGGCTTGTTGGATCATTTTTTTTTGGGGGGGGGAATTTCGTGTAGGGTTTGGGATTTGGTGGTTTCAGGGCTTAAAGGAAGCTCCCTTGGGGTTTTTGTAGGCCCAGAGGCTCCAAGACCCCTTAATTAAGGAATATACCTTAAATCATATTAAGGGCTCCTATTATAGTTTAAGGTATCTTCCTCAATTAAAGGGTTTTTGGAGTCTCGCGGGGGTTGCTATATCTGGTTGTTTTAGGGCTTGAAGGAAGTTCTCTTGAGGTGCTGTTGTAGGGCTGTAGGCTTCTCAGGTGAAGAATATAGGTGTCTTGCTAGTTGGAATAGGGATCCTCCAAAGGGCCCTGAAAAACCCAAGGGCCTGAAGAACTAGAATAGGGCTTTGAGGTTTAGGGTTTAGGGTTTAGGGTTCAGGTAATATTATGGCCCTTAGGAACCTAGAGAAACAATATACTGTACTATCATGATCCTTAGGAACCTGAAGAAATCATCTGTTATTCAGGCTTCTATGTGGAGGTAGTTGTAGTGTTGCCACGGGCTTTGGGGGGCCTTCAGGCTCCGTCAGCGCAGCAGAGGCCTTAAACCTTAAATTTTAAACCCTAAAAGGGTTTAGGGTTTAGGGACCCTAATTTTAGGGTTTAGGGTTTAGGCCCTAAACCCTAAACCCTAAACCCAAAAACCCTAAACCCGGTTTATCTGCCAACTTGTTGTAACTCTCAAATCCACATTTGACAAGGACCCAAGAGTCCTTTTAGGAGTTAGGATTTATGGGGACCCTTGGGTATATAGACCCTCTCAAAAAAGGTCCCTTTTCAGGAGGGCCATAAGCAGGGGATGAAGAAGGGCCCCCGTTGAAAGGGGATCTCCCTAGTACTACCCTAGGATCTATCGGCTCTACCAGAGTCTTCCCAGGGTTTAATCTCGCAATTTCATAGATTATCTTATGTAGGTGTTGAAGTACCCGTTGCACCCTTGGTCTAGGAGAACACCAAAGTAAGTAGTTGAGTCTCTAGGAGGGGGGAGAACTGCGGTGCTTTAAGAGGTGATAAGAAATGACTTGTTTGAACAGACTCGTCTCGCAGACCCGTCATTATTGCTTTTCCCAGAGACTCCAAAACCCCCTAAAATTCAGGAACATACCTTAAAACTATACTAGGAACTCTGATATGAATTAAGGTATATTCCTTAATTAAGGGGTTTTGGAGCCTCTGGGTTGTAGCAGAATGGGATTTCTGCAACCAACCGCCTGAGCCTGCGCTGTTTTGCTGGCACGCTGGATGGTCTGATGTCGGGTGAACCGGGTTGTGTTCCCTTCACCCTAAAGCCCTTCTAGGAGCCTTTGTCGTAAGACTCCTAAAGACCTGAGAGAAGCCCTTACCCTATCAAACCCGAAAAAAAACCTTACGAGCCCATAATCATGGAAGCGTAGCTAAGACTTTAAAGTCTTGGCTCAAGGGTTTAGGGTAGTTTAGGATTGGAAATACCGCTTCGGGTGATTAAGGTTTACAAAGATTCATGCCGGGGTCCAGACTGTTAAGGCGTGCAGGGCTTTAAGTTCGTAGTCGACTTTACCATTATCTTCAGCCGTCGGTGCTCCCACACGTACAACTACTAGGTTGCCCCTTGAAAGCATCTGAAACATGTTCGAAAGCACTTGGATCCTCTTTGGGCCCAATACTTGGAGGTTCATGGGTAGTTATAAGTGGGGTTATAAGTAATGTAACTATACTTATAACCCATATTAGGGGACTTATAACCCCACTTATAACTACCCATGAACCTCCAAGTAAGGGGAGAATATGAAATGTCTCCAAGGTAGGAGTTAGGAGTAGGGGGACCCTTGGGGATATAGACCCTCTCTATAATGTCCTTTTTAAGAGATCCAGAAGTAGGGGTTTAGAAGGGGTCCCCTTTAAGGGGTCTCCCGAATAATACCTAGGAGAACGAAGATCCCAGAGACATGGCGGCGGTTTGGGGTTCAGCGTTTAGGGCCTAATACTGCTAATATAGGAGCCTGACTAAGAAACCCTAGGTCTTTATTAGGGTTATTAGGGTTATTCCTCTGAAACCTTAAAAATTTGGGGTTATGGGGCCAGGGTTTCTTAATCAGGTTCCTGCATGACCCACAGAGCCTGCCTAGACAAACATCAAAGACTTCCCGAACCGGAGGTAGCGGCGCGGAGCCAATGGAATGCCGAACGCTCATTGAACCGGCGCCCCTTTTTCCTGGTGCGACGAGTTGAGTCGGCTTAGGAACTTACAGGGTGTACCCATAGGTTCCATAGTAGTTCCTTTTTGTGGTTTATATTTGGGATACGGATACATCCCAATTTTTTTTAAGGAACTACTACGGAGCCACTGTGTAGGTTCTGGGGCTCAGGGGATGCGCAAGATTCGGTCTCTTTGTGTACAGGCTTCTCAGAATGAACTTCCCAAAAGGAAAGCCCCTGGCGGAAAGGGAAACGAAGTTTGAAAACACGGGGAGCCATTTTTTTTGCGCTCCACCATCCTGTAACCTTCAAGCTCGAAAGGCGCGGAGATATCCGGGGTTTAGGGTTTAGGGGTTTAGGGGTGTAGGGCTTAGGGTTTAGGGTCTTTGGACAGCCAATTTTCTCCATGATCTGGAGCAGTGCACTGCCTTGAAACCTTCTGTGAACATCCCAAAAGCCGTTTTCAACTGAGCTAATAAACCCTAAGCCCTAAACCCTAAACCCTTAGCCCTAAACCCTAAACCCTTAGCCCTAAACCCTAAAACCCTAAAAGCTTAAAGCCCTAAACGCCCTAAACCCTAAAAGCCCTTAGGCAGGCGCTTGAGGGTCAAGATCTCGATCGCGATCTGGATCTCGACCGCCCCTTCTTCCGAGACCTCAGCACTTTGGGGTTTCGGGGATCAGGGTGCAGGACATGGAGTAATTGAGGGCTCTTATATTTCATACAGTGTTCTAGGCTCTAGAACACATAAGATCAAATACATGATATACGAATATAGGATGTATGGTCTACGATCTCAGCCTTGCTGCGAACGAGACGGCCCAGTCACCTTAGCACAACTTGTAGCCGAAAGGGTCGAGAGTTGAAACGAAAGTTCGGGCATAGGTCTCTCTTTCAACTATAGTACTTGGACCCTCTTTATAGCTTAGGATTTAGGGATTAGGATTTAAGCTTATCTGTGAGACAGACAATTTTGTGGTTGGAAAAGAGTGCTTCTGAGAAGCTTCTGGGTTTGAGCTTGCAAAATCCAAAACCCTCATGCCAAAATTGTGAAAAATTTATGTGGTGCTGGTACTATCGGACAGAACACATAGTGGCCATTATGATACAAAGCACATATAACGCAACACAAAAGCCCTAAACCCTAAACCCTATATCCCAGAAGCCTGCACCAAATCCCGGCCTTAGCTCATAATTGGGGTCCGAAGTACCTAACTCTTCGGTGCTGCAGTAAGTATAGGGTTTAGGATAAGTAGTAGCAAGCTAGCTTACTTAGTCTCTGGCGAAGTAAATATGAGTATTTAGGTACTTGGACCCTCAACTCTAAGTCCTAAACCCCTAAAGACGCTTCAAAGCCTCCCGACGACCAAGCTTCATCGATCATATTCTAGTATGAGCCAAAACCTGCTCTACAAACCCCTATTGAAACCACTTCTAGAGCCTGCATACTAGAAGCCCTAAACCCTCAACCCTAAGTCCTTCAAAAGCTGCAAACTGGGTTAGTCAAGGGGTCACTCGGGCGCTGTCTGAGAATCGTCCAATACTCTTCCTCAGGGCCACCAGCCCAAAACCCTATTCCAATTAGTCCGAAACTCTGATAGCCTTATCCATAGGCTCCATAGTAGTTCCTTTTGGGGGGTTTCTATTCTTATAAGGTAACCCCAAAAAGGAACTACTATGGAGCCTATGGGTAGTCCGAAACTCTGATAGCCTTAGTCACTTAAAGTAACGTATGTAGAACCCTTTACAGGAACCCTTTTTACGATCATTAAGGTCCCTACTAACTTCGACCCTCGAAGAACATCTCAGGGCCCTGGCTTGGATCGAGATTTGTCTTTCTTCCTTCGCGACCGGGAGCGCGAGCGGCTGCGGTGGCGGCCGCCTCGGAGCGCAGGAAAGGCCTAACCCACCCAGAGACTCCAAAAAGGCCCCTAATTAAGGAATATACCTTAACCTACAATAGGATTTAGGGTATATTCCTTAAGTATAAGGGGTTTTGGAGTCTCTGGGCATGGGCCCCTAAGTAGTTCCCTTTTGGGATTACCTTATAGGATTCTACATATATACACCACGAAAAGGAACTACCTAGCGGCCTATGGGAAACGTGGTGCAAACATGACGGTTTTGAGGTTCATAATGGGATTCCTGTGAAGTGTTCGAAAGAAAGGTTGCTATAAGGCATATAACTATAAGGCAACCTAAGGGCTTGGCGAGGGCATTAAGAGAGGCTTTCTTTGTAGGGCTCTTGAACTGGCTCTACAATGCTTGCTATGAGGATTCGATGAAAAGGGCCAAACCAGTTGGAATATAGGGTTTCGGTAGTAGAATCTCTACTTGTGACAGCTTTCTCGTTGCTGGTCTATTCATGGTGTGTGCATCAAATGGATCATCAACCTTGCGGATCAAAACCCTAAGCCCCTAAGCCTAATAGAATCTAAAAGTCCTTACCCATAGGCTCCATAGTAGTTCCTTTTGGGGGGGTTGATATTTAGGATTCCATAAGGTAATACCTCCTAGAGAGCCCCCTCAATACCCTTTAACTGGGTTCCTGTTATAAGATAAGAAGTTTAGCTTAAGCTTGCAAAACCCCACTTTTTTGGTAGGTTCTTGTTCAAAAAAACCCTAATATGGAGTTTATAGGGATCCTACAACAAGTAGGTTCTAGTGGGTAAAGGGATAAACTAGCTTAAGCTACCAGAATAAGACAACCATAACATTTGATTTAATGCAGATTCCTTTTGATAGCTTACTCATAGGCTCCATAGTAGTTCCTTTTCGGGTTTTCATTTAGGATTCTATAGTAAGGTAACCCCACAAAGGAACTACTATGGAGCCTATGGGTAATGAGAGCCACAATACCGCAAGACCCTTCTACCCTAAACCTTAAACCCCAAACCCTAGGCCCTTCTACTTAAGGAATCGTACACCCAGGGCAAGCCGGAGTGCTGGGTGCTTGGGAATCGTGAGGTGGAGAGCCCCTTCCCTTCAGGGTAAATTTTGATTAGGCAGTACTTTAAGGGTGTAGGGTTTAGGGTGTAACTTGATGCAGGGTGCTATGAACTGTACCTGTTTGGTCTTGAGACCATAGATAGCTCGAAGCACACCCTGCCCACGCAACCCATGAGCCCGCGCCTGGTCGATCGCGGTCCTTGTCTTTGTTCCGTTCCGGACTGTCTAAGCGACCGTCCTTCCTGGGAGGAGGCCGCGAACTGATGATCATGCGACATACTCGGGTTGTTCCCAGAGACTCCAGAACCCCTTAATTAAGGAATATACCTTGTAACTATAATAGGAACCCTAATATGATTTAAGGTATATTCCCTACCTAAAGGGTTTTGGAGTCTCTCGCCTCTATGATTCCTCTGTATCGCTGTGAGAGCTTCCTGGGGGAAGGCCTGAGATGCAGCCGCGTTTAGAGCCTGAAGCTTCGAGAAGCCGTGGTGGTCTACAGGGGGTTTTGCTGGTTTTCGTTTTGGCAGGATCGGATTTCGAGTTTCCGGCTTCCGGTTTGACAATCGTGACATCTTCGCGAAACCAGTTGCAATGAGATGAGCCCATAGGCCCCTAAGTAGTTTCTTTTTGGGATTACCTTATGGGCTTCTATATATAATCCACAAAAAGGAACTACTTAGGGGCCTATGGGAACACGCCAGGGTGCCAGGCCATTGGGCAGATCACGATGGACTATTTGCTCGGTGCTGAGTAGATTGGAATGGCATGGCAGATTACGTGACCGAGCGGTCTGTCGCAAGTGCTATACAGGTTTTCCGAAGGTTGAAACTGCATGTAACAAAGGCGGATGCCAGTTGCAGTCGAACGATCACGGCATTAACAGTGCCGACGCGGAGAACCCATCAATCAAGACCTTTGCAATCCATGCTGGAAAAAGCCACCCACAATCAATCCACAGCGTTCTCGCATGATCTGAACGGTGACCAGACATTCGTCTAGCACCCAACGAGACGGCTCAAGAACACCACACAGCCGCAAGAACACGAGGTGCTTCATGCCAGTGTCACAAGGGACAGACACAGAATCAAGGAGGGTCTGACTGGCGAGGTTAAGCTCCAAGCGCGCAGGCAATGCTACATTGGCTTTAAAGTAAAGCTCGTTCCCGAAGCGTACACTTTAGATCTTGACTGGAACACCCTAAATTAACATCGAACCCTGAAGCACTAAACCTGAAGCCTAAAGCCCCCGAAACCGTGACCCTATCTGACCCTTAGCCTTCGACTCCAACACCCGAAAGCTCCGTAAGCGAACACAAACCAAAAAACCTTAATTGTAATTGTTACCCATGGGCTCCGTAGCAGTTCCTTTTGGGGAGTACCTTATAGGATTCTAAATATGAACCCTAAAAAGGAACTACTTAGAAGCCTATGGGTAAGCCTGTGAAACCATGTGAAACCCCCATGAACCGGCACGAAACCCTACAACGCCGCAAACCTTCTTCGAACCAAGGAACCCCCAGAGGAACCGTTAAAGGAACCCCCGAACCCTGAGCCGGGATGCTCAATTCGTGTGAGCAGGGGTAGGATGGCCTGCGTCTCTGAGTGGGTAGAGGTTTGCCGGTCTTTCGGGCTCTGGGGTTTCGGCGTTTAGGGTTTAGGGTTCCAGGGTGCAGGGCTTCGGCATTTCGGGTTTCAGGTTCGGGGTGTCGTTTAGAACTTAGGCTTGAGGATTGAAGTTGTACCGGGGGCTATGGGACTGTGCCCAAGTAAACCCTCATTTTCTCAGCCTGTTGGGCCTTGTGGGTGAGTTTCTGACAGCCGGACCTTAAATGACCAAAACACCAAGGTACTTCGATTCAGGGCTATCCATGTAAGGGCTGAATTAATGCTAACGCTATAAAGGATCCTAGAAGGAACCCTATTCTTACCAGTATCAGTATCATTATTCATGATTATTACTGCTCTTCTTACAATATATATATATATATATCTATTTCATTGTTGTCACCACTGTATTTATATTAATATGTATATATATATATATTGTTTTATCATTATTTGCCTTTGTCTTTTACTTTCCTTTTTCTTCTTCTTCTTATTAGCTGTAGGCCTCTGTCATGGGGTCTTCGGGTTGCATTAGAGTCTCGCGCTGAGTGTCGGGAGACGCGTGGCTTTTCGGCTCTACAGCGGCAAGGCTTCCCTGAACCACCAAGGACGTACGGTTGATGATAGACATCCTGCATTACCTCTAAAGGGGTTATAGGGTTTAGGGGTTTAGGGTTTGATAGAAATCCTGCATTACCTTAAGGACCTTGAATTATGGGAGTTATGGTATATTCCGTATTATGGGCAATGCAGGATTTATATCATCAACCGTAGTATACTTAGCGTAGGGTTTGCAAGGGGCATTACACCCATAGGCTCCTTAGTAGTTCCTTTTGGGGGTTGATTTTTAGGATTCTAGAAGGTAATCCCCAAAAAGGAACTACTATGGAGCCTATGGGTCGTTGGATCACTAGCAACTGGACAGCAGGGAAACAAGAGCTTATGATACGAGTACTTCATACATTAGCCCCCTAACTGAACCCTCGAACCGAAACCCTAAACCCTAAACCCCAAAACCCTAAAACCCTGAACCCTAAATCCAACGGACACTTCCAGGCTCGAGACATCTCGAAACTCTCAAAGCTGCGCCTGTGAAGGGTTCTGGTTCCCTTTGAGGTACTTCTCCTGAGCAGCCGGTCGTTTAGGGTTTAGGGTTGAGGGTTTCTTTTTAGGGATGAGCATTCCGGGCTTGGTTAGGGCCTTCATGCGTTGCACAAGACATGGGACAGGTACAGACGACTGCAGTTGTTCCATGAGACCCTGCTGAACAGACAGGGTGCATGGTGGCTTAACAATCGACGCACATGTCAGCATTCGCCTGTCAATGTTGTCTGGTGGCAGGGATCAGTCAATCGAAGACGTATACCGCTAAACTGTACTAACCTGCTACACAGGACTTGTTTCTGCAAGGCAAGCGGCTCATGATAGTCGGGTGTATGATGAAACCCTACACCCTAAACTTCTACGCCCGACACGCTACCACCTACCCTTGTGGCGTCAGTGGAGACGTCATCTAGTCCCCTGAGTACCCAGAGACTCCAAAACCCATTAACTTAATTAAGGAATATACCTAGGGTTCCATTAACTTGATTAAGGATTCTACCCAAATTCATATTAGGGTATCCATTATAGTTTAAGGTATATATTCCTTAATTCAGGGCCTTTTTGGAGTCTCTGGCTACCAATGATTAGCTTTGTGAGATTGTTGTGTGCCCATGGCAGGCTTTCGGGTTCAGACTCTGGGCTCTTGTAAGGGATTTAACTTAAGCTACCAGAATTAATAGGGATCTGTAGCAAATAATAGGGTTAGGGATTTAACTTAAGCTACCATAAGGTTAAAGGTTACTTACTTTGCCCCTAAGAGCAATAAAAGTCTTTGAACAATGCCCTTCTCAGTAAACCCTAAACCCCAGAACCCCAAAAACCCTTAAACCTTAAACCCCTAAACCAAAAACCCCCAAAACCCGAAATCCGAAACCCCACCCCCAAAAAAGAAAAAAAACAAAACACTCTGAACCCTAAACCCTAAACCCTAAACCCTAATCCCTAAACCCTAAACCCTAAACCCTAATCCCTAAACCCTAAACCCTAAACCCTAAACCCTAAACCCTAATCCCTAACCCCTAAGTTGGCCGAGGCGCAAGACGTTTGATGTCGTCCAGCTTCTGAGCTCGAGGATGACAAACTTCCACAAACCTGCCCGGGACCACTGCTTTGGTTTATAGGGATTTGGGTTAAGGCTTTAGGGTTTAGGGTTGAGGTATCCAGCCCCGCAAAAGGGGCTGAAGGATGACAGACTTCCACAAACCTGCCCCGGGCAGTTGCTTTGGTTTCTTTTTTCTTGGGGGATTTGGGTTTTATAGGTCTTATAGGGTTTAGGGTTTACGGCTTAGGGCCTAAGACTTAGGGTTTAGGGTTTTAGGTTTTAGGGTTTAGGGTGTAGGGTTGAAACGGGGCTGAATACACTAGCCCCGAAAAAAGGTTAACCTTTGAATGAGAGTGGGAAAATATGAGCACCACAAGGTTAAAGGTTACCCACTTAGTCCCTTGGTTTTGGCTTGGGGTTTGGGATAGTCTGGGGTCTAGGCCTTAGGCTTTGGGGGGTTTAGCGGTTTAGGGACTTGAACGAACCTGGTCGGACGTAGTTTGGTGTTGAAGGACGGATATTAAGGGCTCAGGGGTTTTGTGACGTGTTTAGGGTTTGGGGGTTCCGGTTGAGGGTTTAGGATAGTTTAGCAGTCCAAGGTTGTGGCAGCGAACGTGCTGAAACTCTGGTTCTGTTGGTGTTGCTTAGAGTGTAGGGTTTAGGGTTTAGGGTTTAGGAGTTTGGGAGTTTGGGGTTTAGGGTTTAGGAGTTTAGGAGTTTGGGTTTTAGGGTTTAGGGTCTCGGGAAGCAAATCGGCTGTCCTCTGTCGACTTGCCATCCTCCATATCACATCCTCCTCACCGTCACCACGACCGCTGTGACCATCAGTGCGGAATCTGAGGGACTGAATACCCTACCTATAGGCTGAATTGTATTTCCTTTTTGGGATTACCTTCTAGGATCCTAAATATGAGCCACAAAATGGAACTATAATGGAGCCTATGAGTAGACACATGTCAATTATGTTCGGATTGTGTGAGCCACACCAGGTTAAGGGTTACCTACTCAGCCTCTGACCCGCCCCGAAGGTCGAGCCGACAACAAGTTAGTCTAGGGGCCCTAATACTTAGAATAGGGTTGTGGGGTTTAGGGTTTAGGGGTTTAGGTTTCAAGGTCTAGGGGTTTATATAGAATAAGGAACCATTTCTAACAAGGAGCCTCCCAAAAAATAGCATTGGTAACTATTCAGGCCCCTAAAGTACCACTGCAAATCTCATCGACAGGCCCCGCTTGCCTCGCGTGGGCGCGGTCATCCAGCTTGTACTTGCTCCTGCAACCCTAAACCCTAAACCCTAAACCCAGGCAACCAAGCCGGACAAGGCTTTGGGGTTATCTGGCCTCTTTATCTTAGGGGCCGAGTACCTTAGCCCAAACAGGGTCAACCTTTCAATAATGGTAGGGATATATAAGCCCCTGAAAAGGTTCAAGGTTACTTACTCAGCTACTAAGTTAGGGTTTAGGGATTTAGGGTTTGGGGTTTAGGGTTTATGAGGTTATCTGGTCTCCTCTGGGCTTTTTAACCAGAAACAACGCCTCGGATGCAACAGCTAGCCTAGATAGAGCTTGAAAAGATTGTCACTTTCAGTGGACATCTATCCCGGAGCGTAGACAAGAGTGCAAAACTCCTAAACCATAAACCCTAATCCCTGAACCCTAAACCCTAAAACAAGTGTGTCGAAATATCTTACGGCTCATGTGTGCTGGGATTCAATCTGCGGCTCTGCCATGTCTGGCTTCTCTAAGTTGGGTCTGGGCCAAACTCACCGTGCAATATGGACTAAGGGACTAAGGGTTTAGGGTTTAGGGGTTTGGGTACAGGGGCTAGGGCGGTTAGGGTTTAGGGGTTAGGGATTAGGGGTTAGGGTTTTGGGTGCCTCGTTAAAGGATGCGGGCTCGAACCCTACTCAAAGGTTTGGGGTTCTCTACCGGACCTGGAAGTGTAGCACCTTTCCCAAACCATTCTGATACCCATAATTCCCACATTCCGTAACTACGCAGCACCAGAGGCGCCAATCTCGTTGTCCGTGGCGTCCTTCGTGTCCTGCTTTGTGTCCTCAATGGCGAGCTTCTCGACATCGTCGGGCTTCTTGTTCTCAATAGCAAGGTGCTTCAGGCCATCCGGGGTTTTCGGAAGTCTCTTGGCCTTCGCGAAGATTTTGAGGAGCTTCCTATTGGCATCCAGATTCCATTGCCCAAGCAGCCCCACGTTGAGGTTCAAGGCCCGTTGTACGTTGTTCAATATGATCCTGAGGCTGTCTGTTGACATAGGAAGTCTCGACGGGTGCACATTGATTTTATTCTCCTCAATGGCGATGAGGACGGCGTTGTCGTCACGCACAACGCCCCACAGCCTATGGAAAACCGTCACTGCTCTTCCGATGCTTGAACGGCTCATATACCACCGACCCTACATCCTGTACACACCCCTAAACTCTAAGCCCTAAATCCCACTCTAAACCTTAAGCCCTAAACCCTAAAGTCTAAGCCCTATATCTCACCCCAAACCCTAGACCCTAAACTCGAAGCCCTAAACCCAAAACCCTAACCCCATGAACCTTTCTGCGCCCCAGGGGTCATGGAGTCTGGAAGTCCAATTCCGACGCCCTAAGCAGTTAAAGCACTGGCTGCAATCTGAAGGATAGAAGTAAGGTTTTAGGGCTCAGGGTTTAGGGTTTAGGGAGGAAGCTAGAACCCGAAACTTGAGAGACTGATCCAAACTTGGAAGTGCACCAAATCGTTAGACCTTGCCTAAACTAAACTTTTTTGGGGGGAGTTTGCTGGTCTGAGGCTCTTTACCTATACTCTGCGTGTAGTTCCGCTTTTTTGGTTTAACCAATCATCTGTTAGGATCCTAAAGGGTACCCCCCCAACCCAAACCCCAAGCCCTAAACCCCGAAACCCCGAAACCCCCAAAAGGAACTACTGTTGATGATATAAATCCTGCATTACCTTAAGGACCCTGAACTACGGGAATTACGGTACATTCCTTGTTATGGGTAATGCAGGTTTTCTTAGGGGCCGAGTACCTTGGCACAAAAAAGGTTAACCTTCTGAACTATAATCGGTTTACAAAAGCCCCGAAAGGTTAAAGGTTACCTACTCAGCCCCAAAGTTTTATATCATCAACCCTACAAAGGAGACTCTATAGGGGACCCTAATAAGTGTACCCTAAAAAGTAGAACCCTTATCATAAGGACCCCCAAACAAGGTACCCTAATTTGCGGAAAGTTCCATATTGGAGGAAGGGAAAACCCTAAACCCTAAACCCTAAAACCCTAATTCCCTAAACCCTAAACTCCAAACCCTAAACCCTAAACCCTAAACCCCAAACCCTAAACCCTAAACCCTAAACCTCAGATCATCAACCCTACAAAGGAGACTCTAGGGTCGGGCTAGATCCGAAAGCCGACAGGCTGCCAGCTTTAGGGCTTCGACTCGGGGGTCTCTTAGGGCTTCAGGATAGGGTTTAGGGTTTAGGGTTTAGGGTTTAGGGTTCAGGGTTTAGGGTTTAGGGCTTCAGGATAGACCCCACGGGTATAGCTAAGTTTAAGGGTTTGGGGGGTCGGGGGGGGGGGATTGGGGGGTCGGGGTTAGGGGGTTGTAGGGTTTCGGGTTTCCTGAAACAACCCAGAGGCTCCAAAAAGGCCAGTAATTAAGGAATATACGTTAAAAAATACGAGGGCTCCTATTATGGCTTAAGGTATATATCCTTAATTAGAGGGTTTTGGAGTCTCTGGGCAACCTGCACACTGAAACACGAAAGCGTAACTTAAAAGAACTCCCAAAAAGAGGCCCGAGGCCAGACGACAGAGACGGCTAAAGCCCGAAACCCTTACCTTAAAGTTTAGGGTTATAGGGTTTAGGGTTTAGGGGTTTAGGGGTTTAGGGTAAGGTTTAGGGTTTAGGTTCTCTTTCTTCCTTTGGGCCTAGGGACATTTTCAGGTGGGTAGTTGCCGCTATAGAAGCCTTATAGAAGGTCTATGTACCTTATAGAAGCCTTCTAAAAGCCCTATATACCCTAAACTCCCCGCCTGTAGTTTCCTTTAATTTGGGTGCCTTCTCTTTCCTAGTGTAACGGCGTAGCAACCCGTACTCCATGCCAAATCGAACAAAGCACATCCAACGAACATGTACCACTGTTTAAGGCGGATTTTGAAAGGACCTTCAACATCAAGCCCACAGGATGTCCTGAAAGTAAGCATGCATTGGTCCAGCTTGCCGGCACCCGTGAAGCACCCGCGTTCTAGTTCACCAATCTTCACCTCTGGCATGTATGGGTACATATATATATATACACATAATACATACACATACACTTATATGACTACATATTTGCATATACATACATACACATTATGTCCGTAAATGTGTTTATAGTATATATATATATATGCAAACTCAGCCAAACATATATATATATATATATGTATACACATACATACACTGTTACAGGGTTCTGGTGGAGGTCTTGCCCAGGCCTTGTCAACCCCAAACCCTAAAACCATAAACCCTACAAACTAAACCCTAAAACCCTAAACCCTAAACTCCTAAAACCCTAAAACCTAAACCCTAAAATCCTAAAACCCTAAACCCTAAAACCCTAAACCCTAGAACCCCAACCTTGTAGACCCAACCAACCCTGTAAAAGCTGGCCAAGCTGCAGACCAGGGACCCCGAATCCTAAGCCTTACCCTAAGGGTCCATGTACCCAAATACTATATACTTTGGCCCCATCCTAATATAGCACCCTAAATAGTAGGATCCCAAATAAGGTACCCTAATATTTGGAACTCCCATGTACCCAGATACGATATGGGTAGTTCTCTAAATTGGGGTCCCTTTTTGGGTCCCCAGTATAGTACGGCACCCTTATAAAAAGGATCCCATAAGGGACCCTGCTTTAGAGAACTACTCATATACTTTGGCCCCAATGTACCTATATAGGGACTACTTCAAAGCCAGTGTATATACTATATGAGTACATGGACCCTTAGGGTTAGGGGCGCGGCCGAAGGGAACCGAAACCACCGCAAATACTGGCAATTCACCCAGAGGCTCCCTGGGAGCCCGGCTTCGGGTTAGGGGCTTCTATAGGGTTCCGGGTTTCAGGGTTTAGGGTTCACTATGGCAATACACCCAGAGGCTCCAAAAAGGCCCGTAATTAAGGAATATAGACCTTAAATCATGTGAGGGTTCCGACTATAGTTTTCAAGGTATACTCCTTAATTCTCCAAATCCCCCTTAGTTAAGGAATATACCTTACATCATATTAGGGCTCCTATTATGGTTTAAGGTATATTCCTTAATTTAAGGGTTTTGCAGTCTCTGGGCATTTGCCATCACCTACCCGCCTAAGACGCCGCCGATGCATCCGAGAGTGCTTGTTTGGGAGCGATGCAACTGGCTGTCGCAAGTTTCTCCAGAAGGATGTGTAAGCTGATCTAGAATCTAGTCGATGTGCAACACACATGTAGCATTCCCCCAAACGCTGTAACCAGGGAGCTTGGATACGTAGTCATCACGACTCTACTAGAAGATGACCACACACAAATCCTCTAAAGAGCCCTCATATTCGCCACCCACCTGCTGCCATCTGCTACCTGAACCTGAAAAAACCCTGAAGCCACAATGCCCGCCCCAAAACCCCCCACAACAATCCCTAAACCCTAAACCCGAAAAGCCTTAAAGAAACCCAAACCCTAAACCCTAAAAGCCTTAAAAACCCTTAACCCTAAACCCAAAAGATCAAGCCATCTAGAAGCCCAGCTCCCCAGACTTTAAATCGCAAGACCAAATGGGTAGTTTTCTAAACTAGGGTCCCTTTTCTTTTTTATAAAGGCGCGGTACTGCATTGGGGACCTAGAAAGGGGAGCCTCATTTAGAGAACTACCCAATATAGTGAACCAACACCTACAATACCCAAAACTCTTCATTCAACCCAAAACCCACAACCCGAAATTTCGTAAAGACTCCCCACATGGCCCCTAAGCCGTAAGCCGCAGCCGGGATGCCATTAGCGATCCTGACGGTTTCTTCGCCGTTTCACAGACCTCAGAGAGCAGCAATTCAGTTAGGGCTTTGAGGTTTAGGGTGTAGGGGTTTAAGGTGCAGAGGTTTAGGAGTTTAGAAATTAAAGGTTTGTGGTTCAGGGTTTCGGGACTTGAGTTTAGGATTTTGGTGCCGTAGGGGCTTCTTGAGGTCTTTAGCTCCAGGGTTGTGGGCTTTTTGTGAGGGTCATCTGCACCCTAAAGAACTCAGCTTTTCAGGACT